TTCTTGAACAGTATCTTTTATTTTTTTATTTTTTTATTTTTTTGCGGCACGCGGGCCTCTCACTGCTGTGGCCTCTCCCGTCGCGGAGAACAGGCTCCGGAAGCGCAGGCCCAGCGGCCATGGCTCACGGGCCCAGCCGCTCCGCAGCATGTGGGATCCCCCCGGACCAGGGCACGAACCCGCGTCCCCTGCATCAGCAGGCGGACTCCCAACCACTGCGCCACCAGGGAAGCCCCAGATTTTTGTGTTACATTTTTTTCTATTGGTGCCCAGATGTGACAGATTTTGTTTTCCAAAGATGGCCACGGCAATATCTTCCATCTTATATGTTCATCCTATAATGTAATCATGACATTCCTCCCATTAAGAGATTGGGTATATGTCCCTCCATTTGAATTATGGCAGATGGACTTTGGCATAAGTGTCACTGTGTGACTTCTGAGGCTAGTTCATAAAAGGCAATATAGCTTCTGCCTGATTCTCTTGGAACACTTGCTCTTGGAGCCCAGCAGCCATGCTGTGAGGAAGCCCAAACTACCCCAGGCAGTGAGACTACATGGAGATAACATGTATAGATGATTCAGGCAACAACCTAGCTGAGATGAAAGCCAATTACCAGGAAAACCCTCCTAGAACATGAATGAAGGCACTTCCAGTTGATTTCAACCCTAGCTGTTGAATCATCTCCACCCTTTGAGTCTTCTCAGCTGAGGCCCCAGACATCATGGAGCTGCCTCCACTGTATTCTTTCTGAATTCCTGACCCACAGAATCTGTGAGCATAATGAAATGGTTATTTTACATGACTAACTTTGGGGTGGTTTGTTACAAAGAACAATAATTGGTACACTGAATATAGGTACAACCACTAAACTAAAAAGAAAGAGAGAACTTTTTATTGCAGCATAATACACAAAAAGTGCATGCATTTTAAGTGTATACGGTGAGTTTTCACAAACTGAACACCCCTGTTCAGAACATTATCAGTACCTCAAAATCCCCCCTTATCCTTCTTTCTATAATTAAGAGTAATCTTTTAAAAAATATACTTATTTGACCGTGCTGGGTCTTAGTTGCGGCACATGGGATCTTCGATGCCATGTGCGAGATCTTTAGTTGTGGCATGCAGGATCTTTTAGTTGCAGCACGCGAGATCTAGTTCCATGACCAGGGATCGAACCTGGGCCCCCTGCATTGGGAGCGCAAAGTCTTAACCACTGGACCATGAGGGATGTCCCATAGCCTTCCTTCTAATCACTAACTCTCCCTCCCCAAAACCCTCCAAGTGTAACCAGCATCCTGACATTTAACAGCATAGATTCATTTTGATTGTTTTACTACCACATATAAGTGGACTCACACAGCATGTAGTCTTGTGTCTGCCTTCTTTCACTCGACAATAAGTGGGTTTTGTCCATATCATTGTATGTAATTATAACTTGTACATTCTTGTATTTTGTTTGGGAAATACACCATAATTCATCCATTCTGTGGCTGATGGGCATTTGAGTGGATACATTTTTCCTTGAACCATTTTGACTTATGGTTTTCAAAATTTGCAACCAAAAGAATCTTAACTCATATAAGCCCGCAGCTTTTTACCAATCAGACCCTTTCCTCTTGGGCCTCACTCCTTTTGGACTCTGATCAGTTGCCTCCTGTGATCTGGCTCACAGTAGCCCCTCCCACTTCTCTCTCACCACTCTATGAGATGGACTTTGCATCTCTATTACTTGTGACCACAAATAGCTTCAGACATCTCTGGTCCTTAATTCTAAGTCAGGATGGGGTGGGTTGGACAAGGCCTAGACAAGCAGGGCTACCAAGAAGTTCCATGATCATTGCTGTTTGTCAAGAACCTTGCAAATGATTGCTAACATTTGCAATGCTCACTTCTTGCCAGGCACTCCTCCAGGAATGTTATGAATGTTGAGTCATTTAATCCTCACAACAATCCTGTGAGGTATTATCTCCATTTTACTGATGAAGAAACTGAAGCATAGAGAGGGGTCAGTCACTTGCCCAAGGACACACAAATGGAAGCTCGAATTCCAGTCAGGCAATCTGACTTGAGTCTAGGGATTTCCCTGGCAGTCCAGTGGTTAGGACTCCATGCTTCTACTGACGGGGGGCGGGGGAACGGATTCGACCCCTGGTCGGGGAATTAAGATCTCGCAAGTGGCAGGTCATGGCAAACAAAGAAACAAACAAATAAATAAATAAAGCTCAAGTCCACAGTCTTAACCATTATTTTACACTGCTGAATGTGAGACCTCATTTTATCCTTCTAAAAGCCCTCAGAGATAGGAACTATTAGTATTCATTTCCATTTCATGGTTAAGGAAACAGGTGTGGGGATTTTAATTAACTTACCCAAGTTCGCTCAGCTAGTGAATGGCAGATTCTCCAAATTGGAAGAAACTTGAGTGAAAACATCGATTTGACTAGAACACAAATGCTCTGCCTGCACTTTAAATGTGGGGAAATCTTGCTGTCCTCCAAAACCCTGACTTTCCTCACCATTTGGTCACCACCAGCAAAGTTGCTGTCTACTTTGAGATTCTTGCCTAATTCTTCTCTATTAAAAAGAGCAAATCAGTAAAGATATCTACCCTAGTTGATTTAAAAAATTCCACACAATAGGAATTAAATCTCCCAAATACTGTAAGTATTTGTTTGATATTTGTGCCTGCTTTTTGCGGGGGTTGGAGGCAGCGCTTAACAGTAAACCATTTAATTCTCATGGCTCTGGAGGTTGGGAAGTCCAAGATCAAGGTGCTGACAAATTTGGTGTCTGGTGAGGTTGCCTTTCTTTTTTTTTTTAAAGCAGGTATTGATATATATTGCTGTTTAAAACTTTACTTCCTCATCAGCTCCTGGTTGCCCAAAGAGGCCTATCTCTCCTTATTTTTCCTGGCATGTCAACTGATAGCAGATGATGCTCCATTTTTCTCATTTTACCTTAACACAAAAACTCTTTGGTTTCCTCTTTCTTAGGCTGGGATCATGTGCATATGTATAATGCAATGCCTCCTTCCTTTCCTGCTTATCTTTCCTAAAATCTGATAGCGTTTCAGTCC